CTCAGTAGGGACACACAAAGGTCCCCTGGCCTATTGTCTGTGCTCAGCAGGGACACACAAACCTCAGCCTGTGATACCAAGGAACTTGGCCTAATCTTCTTTCAGTGAGAAATACAATAGGATAGATCTTCATTTGCCTGCAATGATTTAGCAATGTTTTTTTAACTATATTCCTATAACTATCTTAAATTTCTCAACTTGCAGGCTAAGCCTGCTTGTTTTTCTTTTTTTTCTTTTTTTTTGTGCAGATCTTGGTGTTCTTTTGCCTTTTGGTTACATGTGTTCAATATCAATGTTCACATAAGAAGTTTTCTTAAAAAAACCAAACAAACAGGTATTTAATCATTCAAACAAAACTTAATTTCTTTCAACCAGATTTACCTGATTCAATGTGTTTCAGAAACATATTAAACCCCTATCAAATGTTCTTTGGTTGCCATTCTGAGGTAAAGAAGTGAAAATCCATTTTAATGAGCATAAAGCCTTAAAATGGTAGTTCTTATCTTTTCCTATAAAGACAATATGCATATATGTGCACACATGTGCAGACACACACAGGTATATCTATAACTACATACACATATTTACATTTACTTGTATAGATAGATAGGTAGATAGATAGATAGATGGCTAGCTAGACAGATAGACAAACAGACAATTCTTTTCTCACCCTCGAACTCTTTAATCTCCACCTGCCTGAGATGCACATTCTTTGGGTACAATTATTTTAGATATAAATGTTTTCTTCTTCTGTTAATGATCCCTGTCTTCAGAGGTTCTATTACTTATTAACATGTACATCAGATGTCTAATACTAGTCATCCAGGTGAAGACCTGAGCTTCTACCTTAGATGACTAATATAATATTCTACATTAAACCCTTTCATAAGGCTCCATGCACTCAAAGTTTGATGTATGTTTTTATGTTATGACCATGTCAATGCATATATGTTTCTCATGCTTAATTGTCTAGCTTTTGTTCCAGAGAACAGTAGTAGAGTAAGCCTGGAATCTCAAAATCTAATAACAATCCTTTCTGAGTAAAATAAATAGGCCTTAATCCAGGGACAATGGACAAGGTCTAGATCAGTCCTGTTCGTGCAAGCTGCCAGACATACACCATCTGGCTATCAGCTGGGTGGCAACATATGGGCTCTGTAGCAAAGAAATGGCAAAACAATCCAGCTGGCGTCCCCTTGTCACTTTGTAGGTACGAAGTCACTATCCAGCTCCAGGTACTATGCTCCTTGCTGCAGATGTACACATACGGGAAGAATGTTTGTGTGTCTCTTGTGAGAAGGCTACACGTGAGCTGCCACAGGAGGATGGGGCATATACTGTGGCTTACCGAAGGGAAGGATCAGTAAGAGGACACAGGCTGTGAGGACCACCACTTTCCCAGTCATCTGCAACTGCAGCCTCCTCTACTCCCCCTTTCTCACCCCAGGAAGAGGCCATGGGCAATAGAAGTGCATCCAGTGGATTGTGGAAGAGTATTACATTCTTCAGATAATCATAGTCAAAACAGTTGTTTGAAAATCAAACAATGCAATGCCACCTAATGATGGAAGCCACAGGATTCCATTTTATTCTTTTTTAGCTCTACATCTATGTTTTTCAAATTGTGAGTCATTGCTTATGAAAAGTTCATGAACTCAACAGGTTGTGCCCAGCAACTTTTAAACAAAAAATAATAGAAGATAGTAGGGCTGTTTATTACACAGGGTAAGGCAAGTATTGTGAAGCTTGGATTTAAGTATATGTATATGCACTGTGTGTGTATGTGTGTCTCTTTCTTTCTCTGTCTCTTTGTCTCTGTGTCTCTCTCTGTCTCTGTCTCTGTCCATCTCTGTCTCTCTCCATATATATATGGAAAAAGAGTTTTAGGGGTTGCAGCATAAGATCAGTAAACTCAGAATCTGGGATCAGAATTCAATTTTCAGGTCAAAATTGAATCCCAGCTCTTCTATACGATTATTGTAAGTCTTGGTGTGTTCTACAGAATTATAGCAATAATACTACCTACACTTCACATAACTGTTGTGAGGACTCAATGAGAATTGATATAAAATAATTATTATAACATGTGAGTCAATTTGTGTTTATTTTCTCAGATTCCCACTATCTTTGCTCCTAAGCTTGCTTTTCTTTCTGTATTTTTAATTCTACTCAACACATGGCTTCACCATGTGTTCAGCAAAATGTTTGAAAAGGTAAAATTCTTCACTCCTATTCCACACATGAGCAACTCAGGGCCGATCGGAGTGACACCTTCACATGAATAAATTGGGATGCTGGTATTTGAACCCAGGATTCCTCACTCTTTCCACCAAAACATACCATCACCTGACCGCTAACCAGAAACTGAAGACCTAAAAATCGTCTCATTTCCTCCATTTCATGACCTGTGAGTCACTTACTCATCCCAGTGCAGATATGGCCTACTGGTCCACCCACTGCCTGCACATGCCGTCCCTCCTCATGGGTCTCCAGGCCCAGCTCAGGTCTTCACCTGCACGACTGCAGTAGCTATGTGGCCACTTTCCCTGTCCTCCACTCAGGGATGGACCCATGCCCTCCACTGCCTCCACTACCGGCACCACAGTGATACGTCCCAAGTGGAAATCTCTTCACATCCATCCTCCAGCTCTTGGTCTTTCCAGTGCTCACATTATCCCTAAGATAAACTCCAAATTCCACAGCAGAGTGTACAAAGAGACACAAGCTTCAGCTTTCTTCTGGGTTTATTACTATGCAGCCGTCCTGACTGTAGGTCTCCTCCACTTGATGTCAGCTCATGCATTCTTATGTCTTTCTTGGTTGTTTCTTATACTCCACCTTTCTTCCTGGTAATGTCTTCTTTCCTCTGCTTGACAAACACACCCCACCATCAAGACTAAAGTAACATTTCATCATTTTCTTTCTGGCTAATGCCTCCCTTTTTTGTACTTTCTTGGAACATTGCACACATTGGCAATGTGGAGCTTGCCACACTGCATTACGGGTAGAATGTTCAGTGCATAGATGTTAGTTCCCTCTGCCAACCGTGGGCATCTGGGGCCAGGAACTTCCTCACACTTGGTTCCTCAGCCACTGCTAGGGCCCAGTGCATGGTAAGTAATTAAAAACTAGCATTTGCACAATAATAATATGAGATTTAGGTCAGGCACAAAGTAGATATTTTCAAGATCAAAATTACTTGAAGAATGGTTCAATTATTTTCTGTTGTTCATAAACATACATGATAAGCCTGACCCAGCTATTTATCAGTACAAATTAGAGTATGTAGTACTCCTTGTGAAATAAATGTGAAGAACTCATGACGTGAACTCGCTGCTATTTACTTAACTGCACCTAGAAATACTGAATATTTCTATTGGCATATAATGAAGCTTTATGTTTTGAGATTTCTCTAAATTCAAACCCCTGCAATCTGCATGGTCTATAGTGAAAAATCTGCAATATTACCCTTCAAGTACTTTTTCCCTTAATGACATTCTTTTTATCAGTAATCTAAGACTCCAGATTAATTTTAATTTCCGGGGACCAGAATAACCTAAAGCAAAATGAATGACCAAGATCAGCTATGAAGGTAGATAAAACAGTCATTCATCATTTATAAACTCTACCTTACACATGCCGTGAAGCCTTGGGAACAAGCAACCAATATTTCCCTATTTTGGCACATTTCTTTTCAATGACCCCGTTTGTTCTCTGAAATGCATCTGTGCAGACGCAGGGAGGCCACATGCAGAAGGGCTGCTTCCCACCAAGGAAGATACAATGGGGATGAGAATGCAGCCTTGCACCTGAGAGACCTACAACTCTTTGGGTGGTCTCAGTAAAATGCTATTAGAATGCAAGGTGGTGCAGGAATCCCCCGCCTAACTTAAGC